ATATACTTTGTCTCCAGTACCTCTCTCAAGATGTAGAACGTTTCCAGCCTCCCTAAAATTCGCTGGTGTCCCACAAGGTCTTGAACTAAGGCATAAAAATTCATTACTAGTTCTAGGTGGAAACCAGAAAATAAGGTGGAGCTAAAGATGACTCCAAACTTGGGAGACTGGGTAAACTGGATGGTGATGGCTGTCAAGCAGGTGAGTAATACAGGAGGAGAACCAGGTTTTAATGGAGGCCTCGAGGAGTTAGGATGGTGAGATAAGTTCAGCTTTAGACTTGTTGAGTTTGGGATGTCTGAGTGGAGCTATAGAGGAGGCAGGTAGAAATGTAAATTTGGAGTTCTGGAAAAAAATTTGGGATTGAAATATAGATTTGTGTATACTTAGCGTGTAAACATCTATTTGACAACTAACGAGTAGATGAGAACGCTTGAGAGAGGCTGTAGAGAGTAAGATGACCCGAGGTTATGATGAGAAGCATATGTGGCTTTTATTAACTCTGTTTTAGTCCAAATAGTAAATAAAATCAGTGAGAAAATTCAGTTTAAACATTTTAAAAATAAAATGATAAATGAAAATTCAGAAATGTATACTTTTTGTTAAAAATGAAAAATAAATCGGTTCAGAGGGTTATAAGTAGGAAGTATGCTTCCTTCTCCAATTTCTTGTCTCCTTCCAGTGATTTTAGTGCATATATATGATGTTTATGGTTCATCTTTTGATTATAGCTTCCCATTATTGGTTTGGTTAGGAATGCCTTTTCAGCTGCTTAACAAATATGATTGACAGCCTACAGGCATGTAGACTAAATGGCTTATTTGTTTTTTTCCCCCTCCCCTTGTCCTGTATTGTGTTTTATGGTGATGTGCTTATAGTCTTGACTGACAAAAAATTTCTTCCGTTGCATTTTTTCTTTTGCATTTTCTTGAAAAAAGTATTGCTGTTCAATGACACATATCTTGGTATTCATTGGAGTTCTTAAATCTTCTCTTGATTAATAATACTAACACAGTGTCACACTCTTGTCTGCTTAATGTGAACAGAATGATACCTATTTTTTTAACCTGGAGGGAATGATACACTAATATTTTTCTTGATTGCCTTGTTGACGGTGTAATTCACAAGTTAGAATGACTGAAAGGCCTCTTGAGAGCCCTCTTCTTGGTGAATCCGGAATATGAAATACACAGTAAAAGTTTGTAGCTCATGTTTTGTTTAGAGTGAACTTGATTTTTCACTCCAGTGGAGACTAAAAGGTGTCAGATCTGTGTTCTAGAAATGTCCTAATATTAATTGTGTAATCACTGTGACTTACTTAACTCCTTCTGTGCCAAGGTATTTATTTTTGAAAGAGCAAAGAGCATAATGTGTAATTTCATTCATTCAGCAAATATTTATTGAGCTCCTATAAGGTGCCACTTTTTTTCTTTTTACTGAGGAATATTCGCCCTGCGTTAACATCTGTGCCAAATCTTCCTCTATTTTGTATGTGGGTCGCTGCCACAGTATGGCTGCCCATGAGTGGTGTCGGTCTGCACCCAGGAACTGAACCCGGGCCGCCAAAGTGGAGCATGCCAAACTTAACCACCAGACCATAGGGCCAGCCCCAGGTGCCACTTTCTGTAGTACTACTAGTTATAAAAGGAAACATTATTGAGTACTTAATATTTGTTAGCACTTGATAAATACTACCCTGAGTGCTGGATGTGTATTAATGAGCAAAATAAACCTGGTGCTTTCCCTTATGGAACATTATACATGTATAAGATGGTAATACCATTATTTTTATTTGAATCATGTCAGAGATAAAATTTAGCATCAGTACTTGAAGATCAAATGATTTTGTTCTCTCTAAGTTCTAAGACTTTCTCACCTATCAAAGGTTTACATATCGGTTGGCCTGTCCATTCTGACCCTGCAAGATCAGAGTGACCTGTGTTTTGACTGAGGCCACATTCTAAAAGTTACTTCATAGTTGAATCTCAATTCCTTAAAATGTATTTAATTTTAAATGAGGCTGTGATAGAAGCACACAATATTTAAAAGCAAAGTAATGGATTAACTCCCTCCTTCCTAGACAGTCCAGCCAACTGTATGAATTTAGTTGGTCCTGCTGGTTTGGCTGTGTCTCAGATCAAGGCGGATATCTTTTAAAGAGATCCACCCCCAGCATTCCTGACATATGAATCTGCCACACATTTGTTAGAGGCTTAGGAGCTCTGAAAATGGCCTGTTTACTAGTATGTTCACTTGAGAGTAAATAGTTTAAACAATTTCAGAGTTAAGGAGAGGTGAGTACTGGTATTAAGCACAGTGTTCATGTGGCAAAATATTTTTAGATATAGTTTTTCAAAGAGATGATCAGAATGTTATTTTTCTTGTGTTTTAAATGCTTTTCGTTTTGCTTTCTCCGGCTTGCTAGCTTGTTTATATGTCATATTGTTAATTTTTAAACAATTTTTTATCTTCAGATATTGGCTTATTTCTAGCTATTCTGTTCTCAACACATTACAACCTTGCTCCTGTATAAAAGTTTAAGTATTAAATATTGATACAAACTTCCACCCCTTTGGGGAAGAAATTGAGAAGACCTAAACCAGTTTTATGAATAGTTTTCAGAGGTTCTTTAGGCTATCAAATTGAATCAATACTAACAGATTCCATGTATCATGACTGTCTGAATGCCTTTCCTTTGTCATATACAACTCTTTCTTCCCAACTGTTCTAACTTGCAGCATTCAAGTAGCTTTCCCAAACTAACGTTACTGGGATATAATATTCTAAAATATATTTAGCCCTTGGATATATATATTGATTAGTTTCTATAGTTAATGTACCTTTTTATTAATTTGTTTTTATTAGTTTAATCATATCTCTGATCAGATTGCCTGAGAGGGCAAGAAAGAATCTTTTATTCCTTTGGGACTTTTTATAACTCTAGTACAGTGCTCAGTTGAAAACATACTCCTGGTAAATTGTGATTGACCATCCTCGCTGCAGTCGTTGCAAAGTTAAGATTAAAGTTAACACACAGACTTCTCTAGTGGAATTTTTCTGTAAAACAAGATTTCCATTAAATTTGACCAAAAAGTAAAAAGCTTTAAGGTATGGGATCAGAAGTACAGTAGCTTGGTGTTTGTGTATTAAAATTCAGATATCCGAAAGGATGAAACCAGGGATAATCTTACAATGTTTGGACTTAGGTCAAGATGAAGAGGGATGGAATGATTTCATGACAGTTACTGATCACTCTATAACAGTTTTTCCCCTTGTGTTGGACTTCACTTTATTTCCACTTGTATACAATGCTGGACCACTCTTAGCCAGCCCTGGTGGTCTAGTAGTTAAGATTCAGTGCTCTCATCCCCATGGCCCAGGGTTCATTTCCCGGTCAGGGAACTATACCACCTGTCTGTCGGTTGTCATACTTTGGTGGCTGTGTGTTGCTGTGATGCTGAAAGCTATGCCGTTGGTGTTTAAAATACCAGTAGGGTCACCCATAGTGGACGGCTTTCAGTGGAGCTTCCAGACTAAGACAGACTAGGAAGAAGGACCTGGCTGCCCACTTCTGAAAAATTGGCCCTGAACAACCTATGAAAAGCATTGTCTGATATAGCGCCTGGAAGGTGAGAGGATGGCACAATAAAGACCAAGCAGGGTTCCGCTCTGCTGTACACAGACAGGGTCACTAGGAGTCAGAATCTCATGGCACTAACAACAAAAGGACCACTCTTGTGTAAGCAATTGACTTCTGTGCATAATTAATTTATGTTAACTACTGACAACAAAGTCTAGTATAAACCACGTGTTTCCACAGAGGCCCAGAGCTGATAATTATTTGGAATTCTATGGCTGGGTGGCTTTAAGAATACAGAGCAGGTTAAAACATTTAGAAATATTTTATTCTATCTTTTTTGTGTGTGTGTGAGGAAGATCGGCCCTGAGCTAACATCCATGCCAATCCTCCTCTTTTTGCTGAGGAAGACCAGCCCTGAGCTAACGTCTATTGCCAATCCTCCTCCTTTTTTTCCCCCTTTTTCTCCCCAAAGCCCCAGTAGATAGTTGTATGTCATAGTTGCACATCCTTCTAGTTGCTGTATGTGGGATGCGGCCTCAGCATGGCCGGATAAGCGGTGGGTTGGTGCACGCCCGGGGTCTGAACCTGGGCCACTGGTAGCGGAGCACACGCACTTAACCACTAAGCCGCGGGGCCGGCCCCTATATTTTTTATATTCTTTATTATAACAAAGGAAGTTATGCATTCTCCAACCGTAGCATTTTAGGATCTATTTCATAAAATTAAATAATGATAGAAATCAGTGTTAACATTGTGCTTAGGCAGTGCTTCTCCCTCTTTTTTTTTTTTTTTTTTGCTGAGGAAGATTAGCCCTGAGCTAACATCTGTGCCAGTCTTCCTCCACTTTACGTGTGGTTTGCTGCCACAGCATGGCTGACAAGTGGTGTAGGTCCGTGCCCAGGATCTGGACCCTCAAACCCGGGCCACCGAAGCGGAGCGTACTGAACTTAACCACTAGGCCACAGGACCAGCCCCTTTCCTCAGTTTTTCTTTGTTTGCTGTCCATCTGAAGTATATATAACTTATAACTTATTTCTATTGAAAAAAATTATGTCCTGCTTAGATCTTAATAGATTTCTTTTTTTTAATTAATTAATTAATTAATTAATTTTCCCAAAGCCCCAGTAGATAGTCGTATGTCATAGTTGCACATCCTCCTAGTTGCTGCATGTGGGACGCGGCCTCAGCATGGCCGGAGAAGCCGTGCGTTGGTGCGCGCCCAGGATCCGAACCCGGGCCGCCAGCAGCGGAGCGCACGCACTTAACCGCTAAGCCACGGGGCCGGCCCTTAGTAGATTTCTTTTAGTATTACTTAGAGAATTCTGAAGGCATAGTTATGCAAATCTGTAAGGACTTAGATTTATGTAGTAATCTTTTTCTTACCGTGATTGAAATAAAACATTTTTAACTTCCCGTTTAGGTTCATCATGTTACACAAAATGGAGGCCTATATAAAAGACCATTTAATGAAGCTTTTGAAGAGACTCCAATGCTGGTTGCTGTGCTTACTTATGTGGGGTATGGTGTACTTACTCTCTTTGGATATCTTCGAGATTTCTTGAGGCACTGGAGAATTGAAAAGTGTCACCATGCAACAGAAAGAGAAGAACAACAGGTAATTGTTAGAAAGTCTTCCATTCTGTAAAGGGAAGCCTTTTATAGACGTCTTGGTATTTTCCCTTGTTGATTTCTTTAAACATTTGGGTATACTTTAAAGTTAAAATATTGCAGATATAGTTAAATTAAAACATTCCACAAAGAAAGCTAAAAGCAAAGTTAAAGGCATAGAGAAACAGAAGGATTTAACATATTTTAATTTAATCATCACGAGAATCTATTCCTATATTATGGATAGGAAAGCTAAAACTCACAAGTTAAGTAGTGTTTCCTAAGATGCCTAGTGTCAGAGCTGGTATATGGGCACAGGTTTTGAAATGCCAAAAGCCATGTTCTTTCTGTTCACGATACCATACTGTACCCCAAGACTGTTGTGTCTACAGTCTTCTGAGAAGATTGTGTTCTTTAGAGTTCAAATGGTGTGTTTTCTCATGGACACATTATACGTAAATGTCTGGTTCACCGATCACCTCCTCTCCCCAAGCAAACAAGCCTAAAACAGAATGTGGCTGAGCTACTCTGTTTACAGTAGAAAACAATATTGTTTTGGTAATGGTAAACAGAGGTGATAATGGTTGTCTCTGAGGAGGAGGACCTCATTCGCGTCTTCACTTTTCTCTGCATACTCCTTTGAGCCTCTTAAAGTTTTGTACAATATACATGTATTACCAGTCTTCAAAAATAAATAAAATTAGGGTGAAAACATGCCTGATTTTACTAAAAAAACTTGTTTGTTCTCGGCAGGTAAAGTATGGAGAGGTTGTCCTCCAGTCCAGGGAATACGCTAGATTGGAGAAGGGCTTAGGAAGTTGGGTCTTTTTGGTCTGTCATGCCTGTCACTTTTGTGGGGCGTTAGAGGAGAGAGGCAGATGTAGCAGCAAGGTCATCACTGAGAGAGGAGCCATTGAACACTGGGAATGGATGGCTGTCGTGTGGGGGGAAGGAGAAGAGGGCATCAAGAAACTCCAGGAAGGAAAGGACTGCGCCAGCTCCTAGGAAGCCAGAACCAATAAGTAAACGGATTGAGGATTCTGGTCCTGGGAGAACTCAGGTTGCAGGTATCCTCCCCTCTCATCTCAACGGTTCTGCACCCTTCCCAGCCCCAGCACCACAAGTTGGCCGTCCTTCTCATTGCCCTGACATGCCTACAAGTTAGTTTCATTAAGAAGGTATTTTTTGAATACCTAATACAGGCAAAGCCCTGCATTCAGAACTCAGTCCAATAGGCTAGACTAATTTTCATCATTAAAAACTGGAACAAATTAAAAAATTTCTTTGATTCTCCTTGTTTTCTAGCCCTGTACATCCCACATAGACTTTCTGGCTAGAGTGCATCCACAATATGTTGATTTTTTTACATCATTCAGGTATGGCTTACGTACTGTAAGTTATAGCTCACTGTACAGTTACTGTGTTGTATGGTGTTGCAATTACATGTTTACAGGTCAATGTTTTCCTGCTAGACTGAGTTGATGGCAGTTGTGACTGATGAGAGCCAAATTATATTCACATATTCAAACTAGAAAATCTTTATCTACAAGGACCTCTCATAGTATTGACACACTGTAGAGACCTAATAATTGACACGAAGAGTTGGGGGTGGGGGGAGTGCTGATTTTGGTGTAGAGAGCATTCCTGGCTGAGGGGATAGTATAGGCAAAGGCATGTGTGGGAGAACCTGGAATGTGGATGTATGAGAAACTGTGTTTTGAATGTCAAACTAAGAAGTTTGGTAGGCAGTAAGAAGTCCTGGGCAGTTTCTGAGCAGGGGAGTGACCAGAGAGTTTGCACAGCTGGCATTCTGTCAAAGTGTGATGAATGAATGAATGAAACAATGAGGATGCGTCTGAATTACTCTCTGAATGTGTAATTATCTTTGGAACTGTTTCATATTTACAGAGGATAAATTGACTGTTTTAAGTATTGGGGCTGCCTGTATGTTCTTAACTATGTGTGAAAGAATTGGAACACATAGATTTTATTCCTACGTAGTTTCTAATTTTGTTGAGGAAACATAAATACTTCAAACTTAGGGGCGTTTACAAAGCACTATACAGGTGAGTGGTGCTTGAGTTGTATGCAGATGTAGAAAAGAAAAGTAAACTGAGTAGCATAGAGTTAATCAGGAAATAATTCTTGGAGGAAGTAATAGGAGGAAATATCTGGGACAGAGTGGGACATTTGCCTCTACAGTTTGTTTAGAGGAGGACTGTACTAATTTATTCAAATTTTCAGTAGAATTTTCACAGTGGATAACATCAGCAGTTAAAACAGCTGAATCCTGCCATTTTCTTAACAAAAATTCAGCTGTGAGAGGGAAAGGAAAGGAAGGATCATTCAGTCTTATGGTAGATCATGCTTGTTTTCTGATGCTAGATTAGATGTAGTGAGAGAGGCAAATTTTAAAGTGTAACACTGGAAAGAGTGGAGGGAAAGTGCTTGCTTGGAATCATAAAATGCAAATATAATGTCACTTCCTCATTTCACAACCACATCCTTATTTTCTTCCTCATTCTGTTACAAAAGAGAGCCCTTGTAACTATTTATGCTAGTTTTTCATGTGTTGCTTTGGGTAGAACTGAAAACACACGGTCCCACTAATAAAGATGAGTTAGCATGAGTTTGTTCTATTTTACATAAATTGCATAAAATTCTCGAAATTGTTTACTGCTTGCTCCTCTGTTATTAGTTGTATTTTGGATGAGAATGTTGTTTTTTTCCAGTCTGTGGTTTATTTGTTATGTGAGGTGAAGCTAGTAGTCCAGAAACGTGTGTGATAGATCTAGCAAAAGCTTGAATTAATAAAAATGTTCTAACATCCAGATAGGAAATACTTAGGAATCTAAGGAGTAAATTATGGTAGGTAGTTAACACACACTTACTAAACTTTAAACCAACATTTTACCTCTTCAGTTTGTTCATGATCAAATATTCAAAAATGGGAGGGGTAGGATACTGGGAAGGGACATTATATGTCCACATTCTGATATATTTAATTTTCAAGATAGAAAAGAAAGAAATCATTTGAAATCTATTAATAGATTCCTGGAAGGATTTTATTCTTGACCCCCTTCAAAAAGGAGCTTACTAAGAATATTCTGGTAATTGTCATTTTAGCAGTATCTTTGGAAACTATTAATGTAGTACAGTTGCTTGATGTTTTAAGCTGGGGGATTATCAATTGGTTTGTCTCTTTTAGTTCTATGGATTTAAAAAGAGGTCTACTTTCCATTGTTTTGTGGTATATGTGGGAACCTAGGACAGCAGTCATCTATTTTTTTAATAGCTTTATTGAGATATAATTTACATACCTTAAGAGTCACCCACTTAAAATGTACAATTGAGTGGTTTTTAGTATTATTTACAGAAGTGTGCAGCCAACACCATAATCTAATTTTATAATTGGATTTTCATCATCTGAAGAAAGAAACCCCATACCCATTAACAGTCACTCCTTCCTCCCCCTCCCCACTCTTGGCAACCACTGATCTAGTTTCTGACTCCAGACATTTCATATAAATGGGATCATATAACGTGTGATCTTATGTGTCTGGCTTCTTTCACTTGGCGTAATGTTTTTGAGGTTCATCCATGTTGTTGTATATTTCAGTAATTCATTCCTTTTTATTGCTGAATCATATTGCATTATATAGAGCAGTCTTCTGTTTTTATTTACTCTAGAGGTTTTTTTCTACTAGTAAGAAGTTGTATCCAAAATAAACCTTTTAAAGATTTTATTTATTCATTTTTTCCCCCCAAAGCCCCAGTAGATAGTTGTATGTCGTAGGTTCACATCCTTCTAGTTGCTGTACGTGGGACTCGGCCTCGGGTTGGACGGAGAAGTGGTGCCCTGGGGTGTGCCCGGGATCCGAACCCGGGCCGCCAGCATCAGAGCGCGCACACCCAACCGCTAAGCCACAGAGCCGGCCCCAAAATAAACCTTTTAAAAGAGTTTTGTAGCGCTTTACCACTTTATCCTTTTGCCTTAGTGACATTACTAGGCTTGCAACAGTTTCTCTGTCACCTGTTGGGCTTTTTTTGTTTAGAGCAACAGTGTAGCCTTTTTTAGCAAGACGTTTTTGTCTTTTGAATCTTTTAGGCTTCTGTTTCTTTATTCAGCTTTTCTTTGCATTCAGCAATTTTGAACTATTTTTTACTATTAACTGAGAATGTAAAAGTTTAAAGAACTGGTGCCCTGTCTGATATCCTAAGTCATTCCAAGTTTACATTGAGTACTGTTGGGGTGTTAAACTGGTAACCTGAGTTTAAAATGTTTATGAAAATGAAAAAATAAAGTTAAATGAAAATAGAATTCATGAATCCCTCAACAGTTCTTACATTCCAGTTTAAGAAACCATGTTGAGGTTTCCTTAGATTTTAAGTTGTATTTTGGTTTTATTTATGTTTCTCACTAAAGCATTTTGAAAATGCCATGGCAGCTTTGGTAGTAAGTACCTGAAAATGTAAAAAAGTGATCTACTCGACTTAAATCTGGCCATCCGGTAGAGCTTGTTAGAGATAGCACATGATGACTGGCTGGTCCTCTGCTGCTGTTGACTACACATTCAGTTTTGACTGCTAGGATTCTGGTGAGTCAACTGGACATCACTTTGTGCTCTGCTAGATCATTCCCAGTAGCATAAACGTGTTATTTCTCCCACCTTAAAAAACGCCTTCTCCTGGGCCGGCCCCGTGGCTTAGCGGTTAAGTGCACGCGCTCGGCTGTTGGCGGCCCGGGTTCAGAACCCCGGGCGTGCACCGACGCACCGCCTCTCCGGCCATGCTGAGGTCGCATCCCACATACAGCAACTAGAAGGATGTGCAGCTATGACATACAACTATCTACTGGGGCTTTGGGGGAAAAATAAATAAATAAATAAAATTATTAAAAAAAACAAACAAACACCTTCTCTTGATCCTACTTTCTCCTCCGTCTACTGCTTGATTCTTTCTTCCTTGTAGAGCAAACTTCCCTGACATAGCTGTGTCTGGTCTCTT